CATACGCCACACTTGGGCAAGATTGATAAACATAAGCTTCAAATCAATAATAAACTAGGATTTGTTGATGAAAGCTTAAAGGAACCAATAGATCCTGGAGATCAACCATGGAATATTATTTGCAATCTAATAACATCATAATCACCTGAATACAAAATACTTTAGTCATTGATATTAAATATAACATATTCTATACTGACACGACTCACTAACTCTAAATTAAACTAGAACAGAGACATACGCAATAAAGTGCATATAAAATCTATGAGGTAAAATAAGGTATAGTAAACCTTATGGAAACCAAAATAGTTTAGATGTTTATTTTTTAAAATTCAGAATTTTATTCGATGAGTTGACGAATTATAAAACGATTCTAAACTAAAGTTATTGAGGATTGGAAACTATTGTGGAATATTAACAAAGTGACCAACATAATAAAGTTCCTCTTGGATTTGAATGAGTCATATAAGATCATTAAGACACACATATTGTTGAAGAAACCTAGGAAAATTTTGTTGGATACTCGTGTAAACAGAGCCCTAGCTATTAATATTATGGAATCAAGTAAGACAAACAAAGAAGCTGCTTCAAATCGTGTGAAATATTACTCTTCTCGTAGTAAAATGGTAGGTCATTGTGTAGACGATACTTCAAAGCTAATCTAATCAAACTTTTGTGTTCCATTGCAATATGCGCGGACATACTCTGGAAACTTATTCCAAACTCCATGAATAACAACTAACCTAGTATTTTATCTAAGAACAAAGTACAAAGAATTGGATTGCCATTGATCCATGAAAAGATCTAGAACAAGAGTGTTGTAACTAAGTATATAAACAACATATAATAACTAAAAGATATTCTCATTAAGCCACTGTTGAGCACTTAGTTCTTACATAGTCAAGATAAGAATAAAATATATTTACTCTCTATCATATAGAGAGATGACAAAGTACATTTTACCCAAGCCTATGGGTTGACCAGGTGGTAAAGCCTTGTTATTGGATGTGCACAGGGTGTATGCATATATGCATATATATATATATATATATATATATATTTTAGGGTTAAAAAGATAATACCATGTATACGAGGCGTATGTGTCCCTTATTTTTCTGAGGTATTTAATCGTTTCTTTTAATTGTAGGAAGCATTAACAGAAGCCAAAAGAAACTCTAGTAGGGTTTTTCTCCAGCCAACGACTGCTTTTCATTTTTTTTCTCTCTATTCTTCGTTCCTCCTCTATTGATCTCTAGAGATTTTCTTCTATGATTGTTTTATACTACATTTTTGTGGAGATTATGACATTCTCACTTTTTTAACAATATAATTTTAGAATGTGCATGTGCACATAAATTCGCACGTTAAAAAATATA